TCATCGAAAGTGAAGTTATCCTGTATCCACTGTAACCATTTGTATCATAATTTGTTATGCTCCCCCATCAGTAAATAACTTCACCAGTCTTGTATGCATTACTTTTCTTGGACTGCCTGTATTTGTGGTCTTAGATAACTTTATCCCAGGTGTTACCAAGGCTCCTTTGCTGAGGGTGAAGTCCCCTTAGGTTCCTGTTCTGAGGGTAAGGCTGCAGGTGGGGGTGGGATAGGGGTATGGCTTTATGAGTGGGTGGAGCCAAGACTGCAGCCATGAAAGTTGGAAAGCAGTGTTGTTAAGGAACAAAGCAGATGGAAAGCTTTGGGACCACTGGGCTACAAGTGTTAATTAATTGATGTATCTAAATTTCAGAACCATGGTATGGTGCTATAGGATAAGTACTGCACTGCTGACCACATAGTCCATAGTTCAGAGCCACTCCTCAGAAACCCTATATTCAGGGTCACTGTGAGTCAATGGGCTCAGTGGCACTTAACAACAAATTCTTTTTTCTTTTTTTGGTCTTAGCCAGGTTAGCATAAACAAAGTTGAATTTATGATATCCCCCGAAAGGTTCTGTTTACTGTATTATGTAATGGTTGAAATGAGTTTGGATTCAAATTGTAGCCAGGCTATTCACATCTGTAGATCTATTTCATGTGTAAAAGGCACAGTGTGATCAAATAGGTTCACACGTGTTAAGTGCTTTAGGGCAAAGCACTACAGTTCATTGTCTTTATTATGTGGGTAGATAATGGAGAAGGTGATCTGAATATAGTTTTGGAGGTAGGAACAAAGTGGGACCTCAGGGATTACTCAGCAGGATTTAGCGTCATAACCCTGGCAGTAATGAATGGCTGCAGTCAGGAAGAACTTGGTTTGATTCCTGGCTCTATCACTTCTTAATGAGTCCTTGAGCAAGCAACTGCTTTCTCCACTTAATGTCCACATCTATAGAAAGGAGGCAGGTAATGGTGCCCACAAGAACTAAATGCAGTAATTCATGTCTAATGATAATAGCTTAGGATTGTGGAGAGTCTGCTCTTAGACACTAGACCTCTTGGCACTAGTACTGAGAGCATCAGATCAGGACTGGAGGGAAGAAACAAATGCTGTCCCATACTCTCTCCCCATCATCAAAAGTCTACTTGTGATTCCCAGCAAGACAGCAGACTAGGCAGGCACTACACAGACTACAACAAAGATAAAGAGACCAAATGGAAATGCTGCAACCCTGAAATTCAGAGGAAAGGTTGGAGTTGTGGACCGAGGGCTAGGTGGAAGAAGAAGCTGAACAAGGACTGAGGAAGAGACGTGAACAGCTGGCCAGATGCAGTGCGATCATCTTGAATTTGGTGGCAGAAAGTGACCTGGCAGAACA